GTGGGTGGGGGGTTGAACCCAGGAAAATGTTCCCGGGGGAGAGCTGACCGTGAGTCCTGGCTTGTGGCTTAGCTGCGTAGAAGTGGGTGCTTTTTGGCATCACTGGTGCTTTGGTCACCCAGAAAACAGTCTCCTTTAGTGATCTGGCAGAAACGGTGATGATTTCGGCAGAAACAAACTCTCCGGTAAGTCCACATCCTCCCTTCCTGCTGAGGGTTCCCACTCGCCCTGCAGGGCCACACAGCAGGATGGGAACTGAGGCTGACTGGCCCCTCAGGGGTGCTCCCCAGCACACAGGCCCAGGTCTAACATGAGGGAGTCTCACTGTGGCCCCCTCTGCAGCCCCTCCCTCCCTCCCTTCCTCCCTCCCGTGCCTTCTCCATTGAAAGGATTCATGGACACAAGGCAGCCCCTGGCCCCAACCCAATGAAGGGGCTCTCGTGACCGAGTCTCAGCCTTTCTACTGTGTGTGCAGAACAAAGCGCTAAGTTCTATTTCCCTGCCCAAGAGCAACGACCCAACTCAGCGGCTCCTCTGGCACTCTCTGATCAGATAAGAGGGCAACAAAGGTAACCAGGACTCTGAAAACCAGCAAGCAAGAGGCAGAAACCAGCGCGAAGAACCAGGGGCAGAATCATGGTGTGTGTTAATGAGGCTGTCCAGAAACAGAGGCTGAACATCCCGGCAGCCCATCCAAAGGTTGAACACTTTGGCAGCCCAGCCAAGGCCCGCCGGCCCGCCCCTGCCTTCTGACCTGAGTGCCCACTAGCTGCTGATTCCATCTGTTTCTCCTAAAAAAAAATGCAGGGCTGGAGTGATAGCACAGCGGGTAGAGAGCTTGCCTTGCACGTGGCCGGCCCGGGTTTGATTCCCAGCATCCCATATGGTCCCTTGAGCACCGCCAGGGGTAACTCCTGAGTGCAGAGCCAGGAGTAACCCTGTGCATCGCTGGGTGGAACCCAAAAAGGAAAAAAATAATTGCAAGTCCATTTTCAACCCAGTCCTAAAGCTTTGATTGGGGCCCGTACCCCTCATATCGCCCGGGAGTGCTGGTGTCAGTGGAGTGTGATGTCTTCAAAGAAGGGGCAAAACAGGGTCGGTACCTGGGCTCTGCCTGCTCTGAGTCATGTGACTTCCCTCTCCTCTACGAACCTTTCCTTCCCTGCTGACGTTTCTGTAGCCAACTCCAAGTCATCTCCCCTCATTTCCTTGCTGGCCTTGCCTCAGTCACGTCAGTCCTGCAGAGTGCCCCCCACAGAAGCCCAGAGCTAGGCTGTGCACGTCTGGGGCAGGTCATTAGCCCACCCCTCCCCGCCTTTACATAAATCAGACAGACATCTCGGTGCCCTTAAAACTGCACCCTGCACAGTAACTCAATTTAGGCGGCCATCTGCTAACTAAGGGGAATCATCTTTGTTATTCTATCAGCATCTTGATGGGAAATGCATACCTGGACCCCAGGATCTTGGCTCTTTAAAATGGCAATAACAGGCCGGAGCAATAGTATAGCAGGTAGGGTGTCTGACTTGCATGCAGCCCACCTGAGTTCAATCCCCAGCATCCCATATGGTCCCCCAAGCACCACCAGGAGTAATCCCTGAGTGCAGAGTCAAGAACAACCCCTGAGCACTGCTGGGTGTGACCCAAAAGGCAAAAACATAAATAAAAATAATAAAATGGCAATACCTGGAGTCAGAGAGATCATCCTGGGGTTTGATCCCCAGAACACGAAAGGTTCCCCCAGCAGCACTGGGAGTGACCCCTGAGCACCTATGCGTATGGTTCCTGAAACCCCCCACATGAAGATGAAGTAAATAAAATGGCAATAGTCCATGCTGGGTAGAGCTGGAACAGCTACTGATTAAATGAAGAAATGAACTACTTGGATTTTCACAACTTCTAGAAGACTCCGTGGAAAGAGAATTTGGCATCAGCTTGGTTAAGAGACGAATCGTAGCTGGGCTACTTGCCATTTCTGTCCCCTTCCACCCTCTCTGAACTCTTCACAGCGATCAGATCTCTTCTGGACATTGCTAGAACAAATCACCCCAGTGCTGGGCAGATTTATTACAGTTCTCAAAAAAAGGCCCTCCCGTTGATCATCGATTTGCTCGAGCGGGCCTAGTAATGTCTCCATTGGAGACTTTGTTGTTACTGTGTTTGGCATATCGAATACGTCACGGGAAGCTTGCCAGGCTCTGCCGAGCGGGCGAGATACTCTCGGTAGCCTGCCGGGCTCTCTGAGAGGGGCGGAGGAATCGAACTCGGGTCGGCCATGTTGGCTGCGTGCAAGGCAAACGCCCTACCGCTGTGCTATCGCTCCAGCCCTCGGAAATACAAAATGGGTTTACCAGGCTGGGGTCCAGGCACAGGCGGGGGAAGAATCTACTTCCTTCCAGAATCTACTCACTTCCAGGGACTACATCATCCAAGCCAGTAGTGAAATTCCCTTCTGGCCTATTTGCTTCCTGCTTCCAGCAAACACACTTGTGATGACATCAATAATTCCAATGGATCTCCCCTCAAGGGCCTTGCCTTAGTCTCCACCACCATGCGGAGTGCCATGGTCACAGGTGTCAGGGGTTAGAAGATGGGTGTTCATGGGAGGCCATTAACCTGCCTGGCAAAAAGCATCCAACCTGGGCTGGCCTTCTCAGCCTTGTCCAGAGTGATGGAAGCCCTTCCATGCCTCCCCAGGGTAACACCTTGAATGCGTCAAAACTACTCTCTACCAAGAGAAGAAAGACCCATTGTCTTCCTGGGATGAATCTAGTTACACCCGGGAGAACTCAGTGCTCTTTCCATTGTGGGATAGCAGGATTATTTGGGCCCTCCTACAATGCCTGGAATTTTTATAAAATGGTATTAACCCACTTAGTGGAGTGTTTGCAGCCGTGGATTGCATTGGGCCAAAAGTCTTTCCTCTGATGGTAACCTTGCTCCATCCAAGTGCTGGATGCCACCAATCAGATCTTAGCTGGGAGGCCACTCACGGACACACAGTCCCCTGACATCTGGGCACTCAAGCCACAGCACATTCCAGCAGGTTCGCTTTCACTAATGTTTGCTTGGCCGAGTGCCATCTGACTGCATTACAGGGACACACAAGAAAAAACTTCAAGGGGCCAGAGAGATAGCCCAAGATTGCACAGGGCTCACCAGGGTTAACCCCCAGCACCCCATATGGCCCCCTGAGCACTTCCTGTGCGCTGACCTCTGAACTCAGAGCCAGGAGTTAGTTCTAAGCACGGAACTGTGGCACACACCCTAACGACTTGGCTGAGGATGTGTACATTATCCCAGCATGTTTTATGTGAGAAAGACCAGAGAAATGTCAGAAAATTTCTCGGGGTCTCCCTAGTAGCTGGTTTGTTTCCACAACATGAGCCCCATACAGATTGATGGAGATCACCTGGCTGATCACTTTTCACTAGTAGGAAGCTCAGGGCCAAGACTGCTGCCAGCTTCAGCAAACCTCAAGTCACCCCATCTGGCAGAACATGGACTAGTTCTCCCCTCCTGTCCCTTCCCCGTCTCTCTCCTTCATTTCACATTCCTTATTCTGGTAGCAACTGTAAACTCAGAATGGTAAAAACTTCTACTTTCTGGGATTATTTCCTCCCCCCCCCCTTTTTTTTGAGATGCATGCCCCTGACCTATTTGTCTTCATTCCAGAAATAAAAATTATTTTACAAATGAAAGAAAATATCAACCAACATCCATAGTTGGCACCAGCTCTCAGCAGAGCCATGTACGGCCCCTTTGTAAAGACTGGTGTTTCACCGATGACATGAAAACAAGTCTCAAACACTTTGCATGCTGAGCACACGCCACTGAGATCATAAATGTCAACATTCTAAATGACTTGCTTGCTGTTAGCAGATTCAGTGGCACTGAAATCCATTTCTTTTCTAAGGAATGTTTAACTTTTATTATATCTTCACTCATGGTCAAAAGACATCAGCAAATTTGCTAAAGGGATTAAAGATATTCTTCTTAAGGCATTGCTTAAGTTTCATGCCTTTGCCTTCCTATATTTGTGTGTGAGCTCGTCTTCTTGAAGAGGGAAAAAGAGCAATGTGCTTTATATGCCAAGATTTTAATAGTTGTAGAAAACTAGGGTTGAAACAACATCAGTGCAAGCAGAACTTCCTGTGAGACAGCTTCAAGAGGGACCCCACCAGAGAGATAATTTCTGAGTTCGTCCAACCACAGAATCATGATGGACCTCCCCAGAGAGTTTATTTCTGAGTTCACCAAACCATCTGAACATAGGGAGTATCCAATAAACATTGCTTGGATTCGTGATAACACATCTTATGTTCAGAAAGGCACCCCCAGTAAACCCAACAGGACTGTGACATTGCCAGGAAGTAGGCAGGTGATCCAAACTGAATGACTGGCATAGTGACCGAGAAGGATATTTCTGCCATCTCTGAACACCAGAGCAGAATTTTCATCTCAATCATTTCCACCATTGTCAAAGACACACCCAAAGGACAACATCTACAGAGGTGACCACTCTCATGGGCCTACTCTGAGTTAGGCGCAGTTCCCAGCAAGGTAACACCAGCTCCATCTCCCTCCTTCCCACTGAAGAAAACAGGTCAGAATATCAGTGAGTGCAGAGGTCACCAATAGTGGGGCCATCTCTAGCCCATGACCCTGATGACCAAAACTCACCATCCGCCATTTCTGTGGCCCAGATGAGAAGTGGCACGTAACTGTGTCATCTCCCAACATGTCCCTGAGATACCAAACCAAAAGTGCCTCTCCATGGATTTCCTACCACCCCCAACCCCCCAAGACCCCTGATGCCCTAACATGCCATCGGGTAGAGCTTTCCAAACTTCGGGGACACACATGCATCTAAGCTGGGCTCTGCCATCCAGGCCAGCTCCACCGGAAGCACAGAGATCACCCCTCCCCACGGGCACAGTTCATGCAGACGTCCTGGGTACAGGCTATGGAGGAAGAGGCCTCCCAAGGAGGCAACTTACCACGCCGCCTCCCGCCGAGTGCACCAGCACGGACATCCCTTCCCGGAGGTTGGCCACTTCAAAGAGCATCATGTAGGCCGTGACGAAGTTCATGGGAAAGGCAGCAGCCTCGGGGAAGCTCATGTCGTCCGGGATCTTGTAGACGAACTCCACGGGGGTGCAGACCACTTCGGCCCAGGCGTTGTAATTGACAAATGCCATGACTCGGTCCCCGATCTGGGCATAGGGATACATGGGGTCAGTAGTGCTGGAGCCCTCTTCCCTGGGGGAATTTCTAGATTCCTAAGACTCTAAGGACGACGAGTGCAGCTTGAGTTTAGCCATCATGCCACCTCAAAAACAACCCTCAGACACGACTCCCCTCCCCTGCCTTGCAGTTTCAAGGCACTGGAGATGAGATGCTCTCAGGTGCATTCAGGAAAGCGTCTCAGGGCCACAGAAGTCAGGTTACACACCTGCTTCTTTTGTTTGTTTGTTTTTGATTTGTTTGGGGACCATGTATAGTGGTGTCCTGGAGTTACTTCATGCTCTGCACTCAGGAACTACTCCTGGCGGTGCAGGGGCACCATATGGGAAGCTGGGGATCGAACCCAGGGCAGCCTTATTTAAGCCAGCTTCCTACCCACTGTGCCATCTCTCAGGGCCTGGCCATCTCTCCTCTTGAGCACACCGTATACAACACTCATCCCACCCCATCCTGCAGCATATTCAAAGCGGAAGGTATTTTTACTGACTCCGCCTGGCAGCTAATTGCTCTGTCTCAGAGCTGAAGAGAACGTCGCTACAAAGTCAGGTTAAAGGGGCAGAGCTGGAGTAAAATCGATGCTCCTTTGTCTTCTGCTGCCCCAGATGGATTCCCTGCCAGGCTGCCTCATTGTGGCATTTGCATCAAAGGTTAACACTGCAGGGCTGACTGCCAAGGTTCTGAGACAAGGTGCCTCAGAAGAGCTGTAAATCCAAGTGCAGGGACTGTTCCAGAACATTCAGACTAGGGCGAGGTGGAATGCCTAAGTCACATCTATTTTTGGACACATATTATATGGCAGACATTGTCCTAAGGGGGTCACATGTTTTGACTCATCCAATCTTGACAAAGTCTCCCTGTGAAGACAGAGCTGAATCCTGTTTGTTTGTTTTTTAATCAGTTTTTTACATAGACAAGAGGAGAGAGGTGTTTAAAGAAACGTTTTCAAGTGCTCATGAAGGCATGCTAGCATCTGATTTCCTAGCATATTATCATTAAAGGTAAATAGAAAATAAGGCGGGGGAGACACTAAAAGCTTATAGGTGCTGGGTAAATTGAACGATTCTGCTACCCGAGTCTGCTTGTTTCCTAGACTATGGCTCTTAAAGTCAATATTCAAATTGCTATGGGATCCTAGTGAATTCCCAATCAATAAATGCATTTCATGTACGTTCATGTCATGTTCCTGGATAATTTTAGGGCCGATTCGATTTATTTTTTTTCGGCAGCTAGCAGGCCTCCTTTCCCTAACAACAACACTAACAAAAGCCTCCTGCGAGATCTATCAGAGATAAATGGTCATAGATTTTTCAGACATATAAACTGAAGCCAGGAGATGAAAGTACGTGCCCAAGGTTATGCAGCTAGAGCATGGCTGGGCCAGGATTTAGAACTAGAGAGGTTGGTGATCGGGCACACATAACTGATTCAGTGCATCACAGGTAAGGGCTGGGAAAAAAAAGACAGCAGTTATAAAAGAGTGTACAAGGTAGGGGGGAAGCTTCCAGGTCTGGGCCTATTAATTCCATTCTCAACATCTCCGTTTCCTCGGTTTTGAAAACGGTAACAATATTAGGGGGGAAAGTCCTTATAATGATTAAAGGACACAGTATGCATGCGATGCGGTTGGCAGGGTGCAGAGGAAACGAAGGAAGAGCAATCGAGCAATCAATGTTAACTCTCAACAAGAACAGATTGGTTCCTGATCTCGTGGCGCTCACAGTCTAATGATCGAACGCTAAATATAGTCCCATTATACTTGGCAAAACAGGAGGACTAGCTGTCTAATGAAGACACAGACAGCAAGGCGGGGATGAAGACACCAAACGGTGGCTTCAGAAATTCTCACTGAAAGAAGAATATTCTGGCCACTTTTCCCCCACGCTATCCTGGCTGAGCGGACCAGCCCTAGCTTAGTTCAACACACCACGCCCCCATCCTATTTCTTTATCAAAATGGCAGAAGTGGCTCACACAGCTGATCAACCCCAAGCTCCAAGCTCAGAGTCCACTTAAAAAAAAATGCCATGGCCTTCATTTATCTGAGTCTGCCCAGAAAAAGAAATTAATCCTGGGACACTGAGCTCAAATCATTCCTTCACTGTAAAGCCTCTGGCAACAACTTTTCCAACCTCCCTGCCAATGGATCAAACCACGAGGGCCATTCTGCGTGCTGCTGAGCGGAACTTAGCTCGACACATCTGGAACCCTGAAGTCATGTTACACTGGCACTGTGAGCGTCGGTGCGCTCCCAAGTGACATCTGACAGGAAGCCTCCAGGTGGCTGCTTGAATCTGTGAGGTTCAGAGTCACCGGATTGGCTGGTGGGGTGGGGCGGGAGAAGAAGATCTTTCATAAAAAGCATGTCTGAGCTAACTAGCAGGACGAAAGAATCTAGATTGGGGAAACGGTATCATCATGCAGCTGGTCCTTCCTCTGAAGCAAGGCCAGCCACAGGCCGATGCACAGTGATACCCACAGACCAAGGGGAATTTATCTGATGCTCGGGAATGAATAGAGTGAGCACGCCAGCTTTTCCTCTGGGGCCATATGGAGGAATGAGGACCAGATCATCTTTCTTGCATGGAGCACATCCAGGAGAGAAGGCACTGTCTCTCCTTCTATTGCCTGCCTGGGGACAGAAACTGTAAAGTTGTATGAAAGGAGAGGAGGAAACGAAGACCGTTTCCATCTCCTCGCTCGATGTTTTCACTTGGTATTATCTGGAAACCATTGACAAAAATTCTGCTAAGTGGGATGAGAAAGCCAAGCATTCATCATCGGGAGTTTGGGGCATATTGATATTTTCAGAGTCTGTGAAGTCTGAGAGGCAGAGAGACTAAGCTTGCATTCAACTCCAAGGGCATCTGGACATGGCACTTGACAGGATTTATCATCCTGCCTTTCGTAACAAAGTAGATCAAGGTTGGGAGCAGGGGTCAAGATCACAGGATGAAAGGAAGAGTCAAAAAGCTCTGGTTTGACTTTCAGGGGCGACCGCTACTGACCACCTCTCTGACCTTGTGGGAAGTGACTGAATGCCTCTCTAGTTTCTAAGAGGAGACCAACAATAGTTACCTCACAGGGGAAGGCTGAAAAGAAAAAAAGATCACTTGCCCATGATTCTGGTTGTGGTAGTCTTAAAAGTTCCCTTCATTCATCTCCCCGCGGGGGAAGCACTTAGTTATGAGTAAGAGCTCTTGTACCTGATTTCCATTGGTTTTTCTGACCCCAAACTACCACAATTTTGTGCGATTGATTTGCCCACAGCTTTTCGGTTTTTATAGACCCAATGCTGTTTTGTTTCTGGGATAATGGTAGGAAAGGCCATACATCATTTCACTGATTAACAAAAATTATTGTGGAGAATTTTGAACCCGAGCAGTAAAACAATATAATAACCCTTTTCCTCCATTATCCTCCTTCCAAAGCCTCGACCCATGATTAATTCGTTCCCATTGTCAATTTCTCCACCGTTGGCTTCAAAATCTTCATCCGAAACTGTTACTTCCCCAGTGTCTGATAGAATGCTTTGTAAATTATTGCTTAAATGCATTAGTCAGTATATGTTTAAAAGAACTGGATCATAAACTATAGAATGTATCCCCCCACCTTTGTGTTTTGTCATTGATCTTTTTCCCAGCCTGGTGTGAGGGGGAAAGAGGCCCATGGTGGGAGTAGAGAGTAATACATTTAGTTAAAGTGAGGTCAGATATGATTACAGCATGAATCAAGGTGGAAATAAAATTCCCCCCAACCACTTCATCCGCTGCTGTCAGAGCAACCAAGACAGTACAGGAGAAAGGCACAGGTCATGGGGAAGATCTTATCATTTACAAACACTGTAATAAGGACCAAATCACAAGATAACCATGGCAGTGTACATCATAGATCATTTCCAAGCCATCTGCATAATCTTTTATCATCTTGACAGATTCCACACAAATATTAATTTTTCCTCTCCAAGTTAGAAGCTTACCTCATAGCCTTTCACGCTATCCCCCAGGGCCTCCACAATCCCGGAACACTCAAATCCGGGCACCAGGGGCGTCTTTGGGGGATTGTCGATATTCCCTTGTCGCACCATCAAGTCAATGAAGTTTAAGCCACTGTGAGAGACAAAAGGAAATAGAGAAAACTTCAAAATGAGATTCAAAAGCTTTGTTTTGCTTTCTTCTTTGCCCTCTCTCCCCTGCACTATTCCTTCCTCCTCTCTTTTTTTTTTAACCCCTGGCCAAGGGTTCCTAAGTGTGACATCGAGCAAATCTAGTTTCACCAATAGCATCTCACCAATAGAGAGAAAACCCAGTGATCTCGCCATGACAGCCATGCTTTCCTGGGAGTAGCTATAGTTGGGCTAGTCTTATTCCAGAGAGGGCCCGTGCTCTCTCACTTACTTGCAATTGTAAATGTGCAGGTTGCCGCGTCTGGCTAGTGACCCTCCTTGCACTTACTGAAGGGTAAGAAACACTCTTACAGAAGTAGTGTGAAGATGCGGAGACAACCAGACACAGTGGCCATTAGTCAGTCAATAGGAAAGAGAAGGAAGACCTAACGTGAAAGATCTCAGTCCTAATGGGAAAGATCTCAGACCTCACATGGAACATCTCATCCCTAACCTGCAAGAGCCCAGCCCTGACGCGAAAAGATCTCAGCCCTCATATGAAAGATCTCAGAAGAGTTGACAACGCCGCATACCACACCGGTCACATGGTGCCTGAAACACACCCGCAAGAAGCTCTCTGCTCCCAGTGGAGGTGACTCAAAGAAGAGGTGGGAGGGGAAGGTGACAGGGATGTGAGGACACCGATGCTTCTGACATCTTAGTTCTCACTGGGTGGGAGAAGCCATCCATCTTTCCCTCTAACATGCCTTTGGCCATAAGAAAGTGACCGTTAAAAGAATCAGCCTCATCACCGTGGAAAACCATTTGATGTCTCGTGATGACATCCATATCCATATGCCAAACTGTGTGTGTGTGTGAGTGTGTGTTTCGAGCTGCTCATGGGAACTGCATATAATGCCTATTTTATCAGTCGAATAAGAGCACAACCCCACTGAACGTGTATTTCTCACCACCAACGCCACCAGATATGGCTCAAATGTTCTTCTGTTTTCAGACGTCACCATCTGAGTCAGGTTTGTTTATTTACTTATTTTGTGTTTGGGGGTCACAACTGACAGTGTGCCGGGCTTAGCCATGGTTCTTCGTTCAAGGCCACTCCTGGTGGCCTGCTGGGGTGTCTCCAGCAGGTGATTCCAATTATGGAAATAAAAAATCTCCCTCAAGTCTGCTCCAAGGCCCTTAAGCCTTGGCTGCTGGTCTGAACAAGCTGACCAGAACTTTCTTGGGTACAGCCTGTCCATTCTTCCTGGGTCTCTTTGGAGCCATGCGAGCATCTAATACCGCCCACAGCACCTGCACATCAGTGCTGGGGAGCGAGCCAGGGTGAGGAAGCAGATTTCCAAGGAAGGTGGGTCAAAGAACTGCCACCTTCCCAAGAGTTTCTTGGCTCCAGCCAGACACCTCACCCCTTGCCCTATTGACTCTCTCACAGATAGATACCTTCCTTGTTAGAAGGAAGTGGAACTCAGAATACCCAAGCAGTCCTCGGGCCCAGGGCCATTTCCTACAGTCTGGGCAGAGCTGGACAAAGAGCAGCTCAGAGCCAGTGAGACAGGCTTGCACAGGCCTTGTGGTGCTGGGGGCTGCTTGGGCCATACCTGGTGGCACCTGGAACAGGTAGCATAGGACACTCTTTATGCCTGTGCCCAGTCTTTGGGCTCTCTCTCCAGCAACTCATCCTTTGCTTTATTTTTTTCCATCAAGTGACCTGTATTATCACAGTAGCCATGCAAATAACATCTGAATGAAAATATCTGTGAATATTCCAAAATAGATGCCACTAAGTTGGCTACTAACTCCAGTTCCAACCCAACCAAGGCAGGCTCAGAGAAACAGACAGCTCTGAAATGTAGTAGACTTCCAAGACTTCGCTTTGACGGCTCACAGGGTCATTTATTACTGTTCTCTGGTAATGTGGGCAGTTTTTAAGAGCTGGGAGAGTTGGCCCAAAGCCCAGTTGCCCACTTCTACCTCCATCACTTTGATGAGTTACATCTTAGGCTGTGATTTCCTCATCTGGAAGAGAAAAGCTTTCAGCTGCCCCAGAACACAGGGGTGTCCTGAGATCAGTGAGGTTTAAGCGCTAAAGCTTTGCACCAAGAACACAGAAAGTAGCAGTAAACCTCAGCCTTTGAAGTTGCACCTTCGTTTTCAAAGGCTGCGCTGCATTTTAGGAAGATTCCCATTAAACATGAGTTAAAATCATTTCAGAGCTGAGACGGGGAAACGTCAGCTATCTGTAAGCTTCGTGTCAATAAACTAGTCCATTTTCCAACACAATCCAATAAAGCATCACAGCTTAGCAATCAAAATCAAAGGAGTTTCTAGTCTTACACCAAACACGCCATCTCACTTCACATACATTTCAGCTCTCTGTTTTTCCCCTTTGTGTGAGAACCTCTTGTGTGATTCCCCAGGGTCCTGGTAGAGAAACGGCCGCAGAAATTCCTTGACAGTTCTATCAACATGGCAGCCAGCCCCCTGGAGAGGCCATTGTGGACGCTCATTCCACTGCTCCCGAGAGCTGCCTTGGAGTTCATCAACATAAAGACTCAGCAACACACCTGGGCAGAAGGGCAAAGCCTGGCTTTGTAAAAGCCAGTGGCATCCCTGTGCTCATGAACGCATGCGGTATTTTGGTTAGGGTCAGGGAGAATGTGCTCCACCTTCCAGGAAGAAATGGAACAAAGGCATATTCGGGGAAGGAGGACAGGTTTGTGTTATTTATCGAAACACAGCGAAGGTGAGCAGCTGTCCACAGAGGCCACTTCCAGTGCCCACCCTTCGCCATCCCCCCACTGCTGAAGGCTTTGCTCGGGAAAGGAACTGCGCCAGGTGCTGACCTTGCACCATCAAAGACTCACTGAGACTGCTGTGATGTAGGAACTATCCTACCCATTTCTCAGATGAGAAAACGGACGCTTGGAAAGATTAAGCCACTTACATAAAGTCACATCTATGGAAAGTATTAAGAGTCACAATTTGTCTGGAGTCAGGACACATGATCTTTCATTATAGACTCTCCCTGGGAGATTAAACCACTCACTGTTCTTGCTCAAAGGCCTGTCCCATGTTTACACCTTATCTAATAGCTGACTGAGTGGGCCCAAAGTCGGGCTGTGGCTTTTCATAATCAAAGCAGAACTCTTTCCTTAGTGGGAAGTGGATGAGTGTGTCTAAGAGCCAGATGTTCCCTCCAACACCGCCAGCTGAACAACAGGCAGCGAGCAAGGACATCTGAAGGATGCTGACAGATAGAACTGGGCTGAAGCGTTCTCGGTAGCCTGGGCTTTGGAAGTCATCATCCATCATCCCCAAACCACCCTCTAGATCTGTGTTTCTCAGCCTTTTCCTCATCACGGCCCCCTCCCAACATTATTTCCTCCCTGCGGTCTTCCCGTCCTACCAGCTGGTCTCCTAGGCTCATGCCATGGCCCTCCCATGGACATGAAGTCCACCCATAACCCACTTGCAATACCCTGGAGGTCTACAGGAGGTTTTGTGGTCCCCAATTCACATGTTGCCCTAGACAAATAGTATTGACCCCTCTCTTTTTCCATTTGACCACACAGTCATTTTCAGCCTCCTTACACCTGTGGATTAGTGTATGTCTATGAACCAGTGGATGAAAACTACTATTTATAGATAAAAATTAGGGGGCTAGAGTGATAGAACTGCAGGTAGGGCTTTGCCTTGCTCATGGTTGCCAACCAAGGTTCGATTCCCAGCATCCCATATGGGTCCCCCGAGCACCACCAAGAGTCATTCCTGAGTGCAGAGCCAGGAGTAACCGCTGTGCTTTGCCAGGTGTAACCCAAAAAGCAATAAATAAATAATGAAGGTAAAAATTATTTGCCCAAGAGCACACTGAGCAAACGAATGGGGAAGAAGGTCCTTAAACTTGAATCTGACCCTTCTTCCATCACAACTGAGAGATAAAAGGATCGTCTTTTTTTTTTTTATTAGTGAAACATCATGAGGTACAGTTGTAGATTTACAAATTTTTGTGCTTGGGTTTCAGTTATACAATGATCCAGTACCCATCCCTCCACCAGTGCCCATTTTCCACCACCACGGGTCCCAGTATCCCTCCCACCCCCCATTCCCCCCCATCCCACCCTGCCTCTGTGGCAGGGCACTCCCCTTTGTTCTCTCTCTCCTTTTGGGTGTTGTGGTTTGCAAAAGAGGCAGTTGCATGTCTTCACATGATCGTTTCCAATACCTTCCAAAGTAACTTAATCTTCACTTAGAAATTTGGGGCTTTGACATAGGGGATAATCCTCAGGCATCCCTCTTAGCTGGCTTTCACATGGTTCTTGAGCATTTGAGCACATGTTTGAAAAAGACACAGGAATATGCTTGACATAATATTCAGCTAACTAATCTGACTCTTCCTCAAAGCTGGTATCATGGTAATGAGTAAGATTAGGAAGTTTCTTTTCCTCTCATACTGAATCACTAGGCCAAGATGAGGCAGCAAGGGTAATTAGGGAGAAATCACATCTGCTGCCTCTGCCTTTTCAACATTCTGGCTGTGAGAGGTAGCATGACCCTCCTGAAGTATTTTTTCAAAAGGTGACACACATACAACTTTCCCAGGGACCCCTTCCCCATCGCTAGTCTGCAGCCCCACCCTGACCTTCTCTGGATGCTTTCAGAGATGCGTGAGCTCCAGGGGCGTTTGTCTTGCAAGCAGCCAACGTGGCCAACCCGAGTTTGATTCCTCCACCCCTCTTGAAGACCCCGACAAGCTACCGAAAGTATATTGCCCGCACAGCAAAGCCTGGCAAGCTACCCGTGACGTATTCGATATGCCAAACACAGTAACAATTGTCACAATGGAGATGTTACTGGGCCCGCTTGAGCAAATTGATGAACAACGGGAGGACAGCGACAATGACGCATCTGAACGCATGAAGGCAGAGGTTTGGGAAGGGAACGTTAAAACTCTCAAAGCACTGCATGAAGGATGTGAGTGAAGAT